ATGTCTCTTCCTGGATACTCAGTTTCTCTTTCCTTTCCCTGTGGTTTCTGGCTTCCTGTGGTCAGAATTATATGTGCAATGAGCATGTTTTGCCCTGAAGAGCTTGTTTTGGGAGAAGGAGTGGCTTTCCTTCCTGAGGGTTTGTTTTTTAAAATACTAAACATCTTTGCTACTTTTACAAACTTCTGGTTACCCCCTCGGCTTGCTGGTATATCTCTCTCAAGTGTTCATACTGTTGCTTTTCAGAGAACGTATTTGCAGTTGGGTGGACAGGATTTTTAAAAATTTGTTTTAGAAGTTAGTTCAGTGTCAGAATTCATTTATTTAATGAATGGTGGGTATATTCATAATTATAGTTATGGACTTTTTTGTTCAAAGAGTAAAGAAACAAGCAAAACAAAACAGCAGAACAGAGCTATTCTTTTGTTCTAAACGAACAGTTCATGCCTCTTTTACTGGACCAAAGAGGCCAAAACCTATTAAATTAACCATAACTATTATAATACTTTTAAAAAGGGGCAAGTCAACTGAAAAGTTTCAAATGCTAAGAAATGTAAGCCTAGGCAACCTTTAGGAAATAATTCACATCAAAATTAATATGATATAAGATTAACCATAGAAGCATAATTCAGTTTCAGTTACTTGCATCCAAGGGGAAAATGGCCCCTATAGGAATTTGCTAGCTCTTCCAGGTGATTCTATGGTATGCTTTCCCTGGAAGTTATCACAAAATGCACTGGAGGACCTAGAAAATTCCTAGAGTGAGTGCCTCTCAGGGAATTTCAAGGCCTTTTGACACAACTCTAATTTAATAGTGTTCAATGTATTTGTTTCTGGAAACAGCAACAAAAAGCCCACTATATGGTTCAGATATGTGGATGACACCTTCATCATTTGGAGCCATAGAGAAGAAGAACTAAACAGGTTCCTGGATCACTTTAACAGCAGCCACCCAAACATCCAATTCACCATGAAAAAAGAAAATGCAATTTCTAGATGTCCTAGTTATCCGCATACCAGATCAACAATTGGGTCACCAAGAAGCACCAATGAAGCCCTGGCAGACCATGCAAAAAGAATCTGCAAACCCCACTTCCTCCAAGATGAACTGAACCACCTAAATTGGGCTTTACAGGCCAATGGATACTCCACCACAGACATCAGAAGAGCTGCAAGACTGAGAACAAACCATGAGAGTAAAGACAAAGATCCACCCAGAGGAAAAGTGTTTTTGCCATCCATCAAGGGAACCACACAGGAAAGCTGATGAGGAAACCCAACATACAAACTATCTACAGACCCACTAAGAAAATCCAACAAATGCTACATTCAGCAAAGGACAAGAGGGATCCCCTCACCTCTGCAGGAGTCTACCATATATCATGCAGTTGTGGACAAGTCTACATAGGGACCACCAAATGCAGCAATGGGCAAACACGAATCAAGGAACATGAAAGGCACTGCAGGCTACTTCAATCAGAGAAGTCAGCCATAGCAGAGCACCTGATGAACCAATCTGGGCACAGCATATTATTTGAGAACACAGAAATGCTGGACCACTCTAACAACTACCATGTCAGACTACATAGGGAAGCCATTGAAATCCATAAGCATATTGAAAATTTCAACAGAAAGAAAGAAACCATGAAAATGAACAAAATCTGGCTATCAGTATTAAAAAACTCTAAAATTATAACAGTAAATAAAGAACAAAACTCCAGACAAGAAACAACCAGGAACACCCAATCACCTCTCAACAAAAGATTCCCACAGGCAGTAACAAGTCATACCTATAAAGTGTCAGGCCATCAAATGCTAATCAAGGTGGGCAATTGAAACATTCACACCTAGCTCCAACAGACAAGCATTCTTTCTCCCACCCTGGACTTTCCACAGATATATAAACCCAATTTTCCTAGTTTCCAACAGACCTCGCAACCTCTGAGGATACCTGCCATAGACGCAGGCAAAACATCAGGAGAGAATGCTTCTAGAACATGACCATACAGCCCAAAAAACCTACAACAATCCTTAATGGTGTTCACTCATATCCACGGTTTCAAGTAACCCCAGTCTGGCTATGAAGTTTGTTTCCATAAAAATGGAAGTCCTGTTGTATATTTAAGTGAGAACTCGGAATCACATAGACATCCAGATTTATTGGAGTACAACTCCCAGCATTACTCATCATTGGATAAGTTAGCTAAGGCTGCTGGGAGATGTAGTCCAGAAGGGCTGGAAGGTTGCATGATTCCCTCCTTGAACTAAGTTAACAAAGTTCAAGAGTAGGTTTCTGGTTTGTTAAGTGTGTCTTGGATTGTGGCCCAATATAAATATGTGGACTGTATTTCTTTAATTACATAATATTTTCCCCTCTATAGCAGTCATGCAATGTGCAACGTCAGCTTGATAAGGCACTTGAGTTTGCTTGTGTTTTTCCCCCTCCTTCCTGAAACATGATTCTCAAGTGCATAGTTTTATACAGTAATACAGCCACAAGGAACACAAACATTTTGTCCCTTTCCCACAAGAAGTGTAATTCATCCTGGACCCCTTTAATACCGTCATCGGCCTCTGAACTGTGGCTGAACTCCCAGCGGTGACTGTCCTTTAATTGTTGTAGGAAAATTCAGATTGAAGAAGGAAGATAGATAGATATCTTTTTACAAAAAAAATAAGATAGAAGGGAAGAGGGTGTCTTACGGCTTTCAAAATGCTAACGGCTTCTTTGCTAAGCCACACCGGATACAGGACATCATCATGCAAGATGGACTCAAAGAGGTCGTCTTCATTGTCGGCTTCAAAGGGAGGTTGCCCAGCCATCATTTCATACATGAGGACACCCAGCGCCCACCAATCTACTGAGGGACCATATTCTAATTCCTGGAGGATCTGTTAGGAAAACAAAGAGAGTAGAAGGGAGAAAATGGATAAAAATGAACACATTTGTGATTTTCCCTTCTTATTTCAGGAGGAACCGAACTGAGGGTGTGTAGGGTTCTTAAACCAGTTTGTGAGTTCCATTTAAAACCTTGAAAGCATTTGTATATTTTTTACAGCACCACTGAAAGCTCATTTTAATATCCAGTGATCCAAATCTCCATTAGTCCCAATTAGAATACATCTACGGAATAAATTGGACTTCCCTATCTGCTGATTGATTATAGTCTGACCACTGAATATCTGTGTCTCTGAAAATTATATTCTATGTTGTAATATTAGCATTGGAGAGTGAAGAAAGCTGATAGGAAGAGAATCAACTCATCAGAAATGTGGAACTGGAGAAGAGGTTTATGCATACAATGAACTGCCAAAAAGGCAAATAAATGTGGATCCTAGAGCAAATTAAGCCTGATTGCTCCCTAGAAGACAAAATGACTGAACTACAGCTATCATACTCCGGGTATGCCATTAGATGACTGTAATCATTAGAAAAGACAATAATGTTTGTAAGTGGGAGGCATAGGAAAGGAGATTGATTGAGATAAAGGTGGACTGAGTTACGGCCATGAGCTTTGCAAGACCTGAGTAGGGTTGTTGATAATAGGCAACCTGGAGCTGTTTCACTCACAGAGTCACCACCAGTCAATGTTAACTTGACAAAAATTAGGAACTGGGTCACTTGATAAAGCTGAAGATTCAGGAAAAAATGGAAATATTCAACTTTTGTACATACTTTTTGTACATTATGGTAAGGAACATGGGCAAATTCATGGTGGATATTACTACCAACGGTGACCAGTCGTAAGCTAACCATTTTGAGTAGAATAAATCATAGAGTTGGATGAGACCTTGTAGGCCATCCAGTCCAACCCCCTACCAAGAAGTGGGAAAATCACATTCAGAATGAGAGGCAGCTTATTTCCAAACAGCAGTTGCCTAGACATATAAACGGAAAGGTGCTATTGCTCTTATGTACTATTTGTGAACTTCCGAAAGGCAGTTGCTTGGTTAAGATAATGTTGAATTAGGTTATACTTAAACTTGATCTGACATGCCTCTTCTTATATTCTTGTCATGATACAACAAGGAAGGGATTAGTATTGAGTGAAAGTGGCTTTATCCTACTGTTTGTTTGCACCAGAACTACATTTCTCATTTCCCATAGTAACACCTCCTCAAAAGCAACAATAGTAGTAGGGTGATATTATGATATTATATCAATGAGTTCTGACATGATGAAGCATGAAGGCTATCAACCATTCGAATTGCAATTTACAAATATTATCTTCCAGTACGAGCGAATCATAGGACACTCAGTTTGTTCAGGATATATATCTTTTGGAGTGATGTACCCATATCTTGGCCATGACTAAGGTCCTTTATATCATCACCATCTCCTGTTTCCTGCATGTCCTTGGCTGCATAAAATCATCCCTGCCTCAGCCAGAAGTAGACATCTATATGGAATTACAGCAAATCCTAAAATTCCAAGAAGCTCTAATGGATCCCACAGAACTTCTGCATCTTCAGGGGATTACTTTGGATCCATCCCACTACCTTCATGGGTGTGGTTGGTGAGGATGTAGGAGAGAGCCTTTCTTGTGGATGCTTCCAGGCTGTGGAATGCCCTTTCATGGGAAGTCTGCTTGGCCCCCTCTCTGCTTTCATTCCACTAGGCAGGTGTTTTGAATTTTAATCATGTATGTAAAGTGGGGTCCTGTATTTTTTTACTCTTTAATGGAAAATATGTTTTAAATATGTTTCAAGTGTTTTATTTGGTTTAATTGTGTTTTTATACATTTAAAAACTTCTATAAAATAATGTTTAGCTCGACCGTTTAAAATTATTGTAAGCCATCTTGAATTCCATTTTGGGAAAAAAGGCAGGATCAAAATGCAATAAATAAGTGAGAATTGTTGTAATCCCATGAGGTCACAGAGCGGTGTGGTCCCCAAATCCTGTGGCAATGTTGCCCCCTAGTTACCAACATTTATTGTCGCGTGTGCCTTCAAGTCATTTCTGACTTATGATGACCTCAAGTCAGTGGTCCTCAAATATTTTGAGCAGAAGGATAGCTTATAGTCAGATGGTTGGGGACCTGAACTATAGTTTGAAAAACCATGAATGAATTCTAATGAACACTGCACATATCTTATTTGTAGTGCAAAGAACACGAAAAAACCAATATAATATTTAAAATGAAAAACAGTGTTAACCAACCTAAACTTATCAGTATTTAGCCAAGTTAATTAGGATTGTTGTTGTTGTGTGCCTTCAAGTTGCTTCAGACTTAGGGCAACCTAAGTCTAAACTTTACATCGGGGGCCAGGTAAATGACCTTGGAGAGTCACATCTGGTCCACAAGCCTTAGTCTGGGGACCCTTGCCTGAAGGCAACTCTATCATGGGTTTTCTGGTCCTGAGAGTCTGTAAATCACCCAATGGGTTTCCAACAAAAATCAGAACCTGGTCTCCTAAGTCATAGTGCCACACTCAAACCATTGCGACATACACAAATCTAACTATGATTGTACAGAAGGAATTCAGGGGAGAGATCCTCTGTTTATGGTATGTTTCTCCACACATTTAGATGTAAAATGCTATACCTCTGGAGCTATGTAGTCTGGCGTTCCACAAAAGGTAGTAGTCGTTACTCCATTCAAGATCCCTTCCTTACACATTCCAAAGTCAGCCAGTTTACAGTGGCCTTCTGCATCAAGAAGAATATTGTCCAGTTTCAGGTCCCTTGAAAAAGAATAAAAAGAAAAGTTATCCCATCTTAGAAACACAAAAAAGGCTTCAGTCTTTCAAAAACCTGGCTTCTTCTTTTCTACTTAATAGAAGTAATGAGCTTATGTACAGAATCAAATTCACTATATATGTGCCTTTGACTCATGTGCACATTTTTGCTAGGTATCTGCTGGTTCATATTAGATTGTTTTATGAAGATAATTCTCATATTGATAATCAAACCTGGATGGTCTTGCATGAAATGTTCCTTCCCAACAAAAGATGCCCTTATTTGCAGGTTGGAAAACCTTTCCTTTTATTTATATGAAACAACATGCCAAGACTGAAAAAGACATTAAAAAGCCTATATTTTGGGAGGTGGACAGAAATATGTGTATCATGTCATTTATGGACAATATGTTGGTTTTACAGAGAAATATATAGCTAAATAAATAGAAATCAACACTATTATTTGACATTTAGATAGACAAATTTGTTCATAGTTCCATGTTGATTGTTCATCCTGTGTGGCATGAACTGTCAGGTAATACAATTTTGAAAACCTGGCAACACCAGCTGGCAATGTGAAATGTTTTCTGCTAAACAAGAATGACACTTTGATAATGTAAGAGTTCAGAGATTTTCAGCAACTCCAAAAAAAATCCTGTTGGTAGATTAAATGTGTAGATCCTGAAGAAGGCCAACCAAAATATAGAGCCGAAATACCTTGAGTTTTTATAAAACAGTGCAACCTTTCCAATGCTGCAACCCCTTAATACAGTTCCTCATGTTGTGGTGATTCCCAACCATAAATTTATTTTTGTTCCTACTTCATAAATGTAATTTTGCTACTGTTGTGTATTGTAATGTAAATATCTGATATGCAGGATGTATTTTCATTCACTGGAGCAAATTTGGCACAAATACCTGATATGCCCAAATTTGAATACTGGAGGTGTTGGGGTGGGGGAATTGCTTTTGTCATTTGGGAGTTGTAGTTGCTGGGATTTACAGTTAATCTTCAATCAAAGAGCATTCAGAACTCCACCAATGATGGAACTGAACCAAACTTGGCACACAGAACTCCCATAACCAACAGAAAATACTGGAAGGGTTTAGTGGGCATTGACCTTGAATTTTAGAGTTGTATTTCACCTACATCCAGAAAGCACTGTGGACTCAAACAATGATGGATCTGGACCAAACTTGGCACAAATACTCAATATGCCCAAATGTGATCACTGGTGGAGTTTGGGGAAAATAGACCTTGACATTTGGGAGTTGTAGTTGCTGGGATTTATAGTTACCTATAATCAAAGAGCATTCTGAATCCCACCAATGATAGTATAGAGTCAAACTTTCCACACAGAATCCCCATGACCAAGAGAAAATACTGTGTTTTCTGATGGTCTTTGGTGACCCTCTGACACCCCCTTATGACCCTCCTCAGGGCTCATGACCCCCAGATTGAGAAACATGGTTATAAAACAAGATACTCCAAATCCTCATTTACAGAATAAAATACAACCACCAATAAGCATGTGAAGACTTGTTCCATCTTCTGTTGATGAATGTTAGGTTTATGCCCATCCCCTTTGACTGAATGAATGAATACTACGTTTCCTTCCCTAGGAAAAAAGAACTCTGACAAACCAAAATGCAATTGTGTATGCCTTCAAGTAATTTCTGATTTATGGAGACCCTAAGGCAAACCTTGCATGGGGTTTCTTGGCAGAATGCGTTCAGAAGCGGTTTGCCCTTGCCTTTCTCTGAGGCTGAGAAAATGTGACCTATCCCAATTGTATATCACAATTTGGGTCTGATCATGGCATTCAAGAAGGCAGGAAAGCTTGGAGAAGATAACTATGCTGGGGAAAATGGAAGGAAAAAGGAAGAGGGGCCAACGAAGGGCAAGATGGATGGATAGTATCCTTGAAGTGACTGGCTTGACCTTGAAGGAGCGTGGTGGTGGTGACCTTGGGGGTGGTGACGGCCAATAGGAAGCTCTGGCATGGGCTGGTTCATGAGGTCACAAAGAGTCAGAAGCGACTGAACGAATGAACAATAACAACAACATGGCATTCAATTACTATGGAGTAAGTCAAAGTCAATACATTAAGGTAGAGGCATTGAAGTGCACATGTATTTCTTTTTTTGTGTGTATCATCTAAATCCTTTAAAGCACCAGAGCTAAAAAAAAAACCTGGAAAAAGACATATGTTGAAAGATGATTAAAGGGTAGGATGACACTATTGAGTTCAAGTCTGATCAAGTGTGAAGTCTGAATGCTTAAAAATGAAGCGAAGCATGTCCTGAGAGGCCAAATTGATCTACATGCGCGTTGCTAAATTTTACATTTGTACTGGTTGAAAAGATTAACTTGACTTATCAAACAAACCCTTGCTTGTTTTGTTCAGGTGCTTTCAGTTCATGTATAGATGAAATGTCAAACTACAGATGAAATGAAAACTAATGATGGGAAATCATAATGCAAAGCCAAACAGCAGCTGGGCTCCAGGAGCAAGATTTATGCAAAGGCAGCAGTTCTCAATCTTTCGTGCCTTAAGCGCTCTCCAATATCTCCAGCAAGGAGTGTGGATCCCACAATATTGGTAACCAAGGCCCTATCAATCACATAGAAGTAAATGTTATGGACATGCAACAATTGCATTAGTATTAAAGGGCGACACTGTCCCTGGCAAACTGGAGCAGTTCAAGAATATGTCTGAATAAGAAGGAGGATTAAGATCTAGGAATGAACACTTCTTTTGTGGTGGAAAACATCCCCAAATGCCCCATCCTCCTAACCAAAATGAGGAAGGAAACACTCTTTCAAGGCACTGTGATCTTTTTGAGATCATTAGTCAGTAAACTAGGCCTGGGCAAAATCCAAATCCAAAATTTGCATTTTGGTGAGGCATCAGGGCTCTCTGGCATTCTAAGCATCTCTTCCTTAATTTCTTATCCCAGGATGCAATGGGATTGAACCATGCCAGTTAAAGTGGTATCATAGTGCTATAACTATGTGAAGGGGATCTTTCCCTCTGGCAATTTCTATGTTGAAAATCCCAAACTTGCAAGGTCAAGGTGGCCCAATCTTTAGGGATTAAAGTTCCCACCGTTTAGTAGGCATCTTGTTGGCATTCCATGATATCCCAGGATAATACAGCATTCCTTTAATAAACCAACAGATTTCCCAGCTGTGCTCTCCAGGGTCTTCTGGGGGAAGGAAACAAGCCGCTTTGAGCTCCCTGCTCCTTCCCATCCCCACAAGTTTCCACTGCCAAAGGATGAACTTTGCAATGGGAAGTCATTCTACGGGCAAATTTATACAGATGACTGTTACATAAAAACAGATGTTCATCTTATTTATGGAACTTAAACATAATGAAATAATGCACCAAATATGTGGTTCCCTAACAAGCTGTATTAAGAGGAAGGAATTTTTTCTCTCTTACTAGATGGCTGCCAAAAGCAAACTGCTGCTTTTGCTTGTGTATGTGTAAAAAATGAAGTTGTGTCTTCATGCATTGGAAGTGAAATACTCATTGGTATACTAAAAAGCTTTTGTAGATCTAAAAGCAAAACATTTTTGTCTGTCACAGAAGCAGCCAAGTCATGTTTCATTAGCTTGGGACTGCAGGAGTCCTATCTGGCATAGCTTTTTTCTTGATTTAACATGGAATTAAGATGATAACTTTGGAAATCCCTATAATTAGATATTCTGATGAATATTAAGATCTATATCCTCCAACTGTTCTGATTTGGCAAGAAGAGTTTAAGCAATCTTCAGTTTCTGCAGATCCTTTTATAATGTCCTTAAATCTATCTAGGACTTCAGTGCCACAGTGGTGGAATGGGTTAAATCCTTGTGCTGCTGAACTGTTGACCTGAAGGTTGGCAATTCGAATCCACAGGTCGTAGTGAGCCTCCGCTGTTAGTACTAGTTCCTGCCAACCTAGCAGTTTGTAAACATGCAAATGTTGCAGAAATTGAGAACCTTTTCCACACAGTCTACCATGCAGCTCTCTTCAACCTGGGTTGTTTCAAATAGGATCAAATTCTACTGCCAAATCTTTGATGGCAAAAGCATAGGGAGATGGGGCAGATATGACACTATGAACAACTTGGCAGGTTTAACTGGGCTGAAGTATGTTGACATCCTCTTCTTTTTATAGATGATGGATTGATGAATAGATATAATGATGAAAGAACTTATCTCTATTCTTTTCATGGTATTTCTGCTTCTGGTACCAAAATGTTCAGGAACACATCTACTACCAAAACTTTCTCGCTATGTTATGTGTCTATATAATATATATGGGGTTCCACCTTTACTGTACATACTAATATTTATATTTTCCAACTTGGGAAGACAATATAAACTTGTTTTTTTTCCTTGTTAAAAAAGAGAATAACTCAATAATGTAAAATAGTTGACTTTAAAACAGAAGATAAAATATGATTCCCACACTTCCTCTCTACAGAATTAGTTTGCTGTTGTTATCAGACAGAAGCACTGGTCCCCTTCCTACAAAACGCTACAGGAAAACGGCTGCCCTCTCAGGAATGTAAACTTGGCAGCCTTTTTGGCAGCCTTCCCCTGTTTCTCCCTTTCTCATTTTAACAAAAGAGCCACACTATTCTCCTAAGCTTAAGGTCAAGGCTCTGGCTTAGATGATACACAGCTCTACAGGTGGGCATTAAAGAAAGGAAAATCTTGTAAGATTTAAAAGAAATTCCATAGAATGTTTGGGGATATTTCTGTTTGGACTACAACTTCCAGAATCTTCCAGAGGGCTGAGAATTTTATGAGCTATATATATTAGGGGCCGCGGTGGCACAGCGGGTTAAACCGCTAACCTGCAGAACTTGCTGAACAGAAGGCTGGCAGTTTGAATCCACAGGACAGGGTGAGCTCTCATTGTTAGTCCCAACTTCTGCCAACCTAGCAGTTTGAAAACATGCAAATGTAAGTAGATTAATAGGCACCGCTTTGGTGGGAAGGTAATGGC